AGATGTGTATATGTAAATCATGATATACCTAGTAAACATACATACCTTTCGCCTGGGGTTAGAATGAGTGAATCCACGTTGACGGGACTAAGCTCATATCCATCAGTAGCTATAATAGTAAAGGGATGGGACTCGATCGTTAGTTGTACGTTACATTCACCAAACGCACTGTTAACCAATCGCATTCGATATCTAAAGCCCTCTTGCACTTCAAACACGGTAAGAGGAGTGTCGCTTGGAGTATCTGTATTGTCTCCCTTTCCATTCGTCAATAAAGTTAACGTATGTGGATGTGAAGGCACAGCATTTTCAGACGCTAACATGAGAGGATCTAAAGACAAAATACTCATCCAGTCGATTATGAGAATACTATGTTCTTGTAGATCAAAGTCATACTCTTTCCTGTTGATCTCCGTCTGTCTCGGTACCCTTACAATCAATGCTCCGTACGCTCCGTCGCCTCTCTGAACACCATTGTGAGAGTGCCACCAGTGAGTACCGGGCGGGTCTGCAACAAACTTGTACACGAATGACGTTGCAGAGGGTATGGGACATTGGGTAATCATCGGAACACCATCCGCCCAAATTGTATCAATTTGATGGATGCCGTGCCAATGAATTGTCAGCCCAGCGCCATCTTGTAGATAATTGTTAACCTTGACACGGATTATATCACCATGACATACCTACACCAAAAAATACAGTTTATTGGCAATATAAAATATCTACACTTCATGGGCAAAATTAATGATTGGACGAAGACAATATTTATAATACGCCTAGATATAAATGTTACGCGTGTATAGAAAGTGCGATGTTTCCTTATAGGCTACCAGGGTTCTAGGCCCTAAATTTGGGTTAGTCACTTTTTTGCGCTTAGTGCGCGCCATACCAAATGGGTTTTCCCTATTCGAATTATTTTTTTCTTCTCTAAAGCCTGGTTTCTTTGAAGTCGCTACAACATTTTCAGTACTTTCCTTCTTTTTGTGTTATTCCATTTTTCTGCATTACTGTGTTGCATGTTCAAGTTAATTCTTTAATTATTAAGCAAATCCGTAAATTGTTCTATTCTCACGAAAGTAAAAAAAATACTCATTGAGAGGGGGATATTTGAAGTATTTTGCACATTTAACTCTGTGGGTTGGGAGGGGGGTTCATGGGCTGAGTAGAGTAGAATTTGTGCTCTCGTGAGGAAGATGAACATGTTATTGATGAGGGAAAAATATGCTTTCAGTTATGTTCGGTGTTCTGAAAGCTAGGTGTCCCCTTAATAAGGGTGTCGGATGTCCCCATAATAGAGTGTCGGATGTCCCAGAATAGAGGTGTTCTACTGTATTATTATTATTACGTAGCAGTCCCGACACAATTGGGAAGGCTCCTCGATTGGACTGACCAATCAGCGTCACTGAAAGCTGTCGGCGATAGCGTGTAGCAGCAATTGTATGGAAAGCAAGCCAAAGAGTATACAGCAGTGTATTACTGTACTGCGAGAGGGTATTACATTGTCACACCTACTTCAAATAAGTACAGATGTAAGATTTGTTGGTTTCCCTATTTAAAAATAAATAAATAAAATTCTCATTTAATTTTTAAGCAATTTTAGCTTCGGTGTTCTTATAAAATGTGTTATAAAAGTAAGTTTATACAGGCCAATTAAATTCATAGTACACTACCTGTATGCTTGGACCTGGTGTCAAATCATTGGTTGTAATGACAGCACGAAATGAGCCATCGGTCGAAATACACTGAGGGGCCTCGCAATCCACGAGACTTTCTGGACATTCGAGACATGGCGCTGCCATTGTAGAACTCCACACCATCGTAAATTCATATCCACACTCCCTCGGCCTGGCCGGAAACTCACACTCCCGAAAACAGTCATTAGATTTGTTATTTATTACCTTTATTTCCTGTTTTAATTGACATTCTAGAGCTAGAGAATGTAGACCTGAGGAAACTTAAACAGAGTATTTTATTAGCTTTCTATTAAACATTATAAAATAAATACTAGAGTCTACTATAAAATACCAAACAAGCATTTGACGCATACCCAGCCCACGACAGAAAGCACTAGCTCGAGTTGCTAGAACGCGTAATATCTACGACTAATAGCGTGCAGGATGATGATGATAAAAATACTATGCAACTTTATTATTATAACTACTGCATCATTATTGACGTGCTATTCCGTGGTGTAAAAACAGCCGATTTGGTGGGCAAATAAAACTGAAAGACAAGCAAAGCTCAGTATTAAATTTTACTCTATAATATTGAAAAATTATATCGAGAAATCCTACCATAGTTAGATATCCAAAATACGGTTATTAGTCCTTTTACCATGTCCATATTAACAATTCCGTTTCCAGATTGTGGACCAAGTAATTCTTTATGGGCGGTTTGGATTGGATATAGGCATATTGAATTAATTATTTGTAAACACATGCGTAATTGAGCTGGTAAGCCTTATGATCAGGTCGCATAATGATATTTGCATGCGTTTTTATATTTTAACCGCAAAGGCCTACCATGTAAACATCATTGCAGGAACAATGCAAGCCTAACCATATTATCATTGAAATAATAATAAAATATATTCGGCTTTGTTGAAGTATATCAATCAAATTGAACAGAAGCATACCACCATTATTATTATTATTATTATTATTATTATTATTATTATTATTATATGGCCTATATTACTAGAGTAACAATCTGTTTATCAGAAATGGCAACCAGGGACTAAAAGCGTAGTACTATATACACTGTAATTATAATGTTTTTTTGTTTTTGTTTTTGTTTTGGTAACGCCAGGATTGACGGAAAGTCCGATGTTCCCGACATAGAAAGGTGGAGAAAGAGGATGACCGATTTTCCGAACAGGAGAAAGTGGGCGGGGCCAGGGGCATCCCAGAATTTTAAAAGGGGGTCCATGGCGGGGCAGAAAACTCCGATAATTTAAACGAGTCTCACACAGTGGCGTAACGACGGGTAACGAGGCCCGGGGGCAACGAAATGTTGCATATCAGTAAAGTGGACAATGTCAAAAAAACGTACGTGTATTTAATTGCCATCTTGCATTGTGCAAAGTTTGGAACCAATCAGACTTACCAAACTTTAGTTATTGTGGTAACTACTCTAAATTAACTGATTAGTGAATAATTAATTATGCAAATTAACATATTCACACACGTACCAAAAACAATAAGCTCCCTCTTCTTATTACCATCTTGCATTCTGCCAAGTTTAAAACCAATCAAACTTACCAAATATTTGTTATCATGGTAACAAAGGAATGACCAACAACAATGACAACTACAACGACAACATGAATAAGAATACAGGTAAAACACAACAGCGTAGAAGCATAGTACTTTCGTACTGTTACTGTTCCAGGTACAGATAATACATTTTTATACAGATTTCTCTTATTATAAAGTACAAGTTATGTTTTATAAAGACGTATAGTATAGTAAATCATGTTTTTAACACAGGAAACTCTCATATGGTAATTAAAAAATGCTAGTCTAGAGTACTACTACTAGCACTACTGCACTGTAATGCATAGGCCTATTTTAATACACTACTTAGACAGGCTTTTCTTTTTTTCCATCTTGATTTCAGAGGTCAATTTTTTTTTCAATCATATAGTGGTGTAGAATAGTCTTTTGGGAAAATTTTCCAGAAACCAACAATGTGATACCAGGGAGATGTAAAAAATTATATTTTACATTTTCCTGGACCAACCAATTATAGAAAACTTGCATTATAAACAGAGTATAAGTATAAATAGAGTTCCTATAGGAACTGTAAGTATAAAAAGAGAAGGGCGCCGCGTACGTCTGGATCAATTCAGCCTCAATTTTGCTATGCGAGTGCTCTAGTATTTCTAGTATCTTTGCTAATACCCTCTATATGTCACTTGACCCGAGCATCGTCGCTTCGTGGATAATGTATGCGAAATCATGGAACACACACAGAGTTTAGTACAAGACAAAGTTAGACATTCGTATGGCGAATATGTGGACACATTTTTTAAAACAAATGATAATAAGAAACGATTCTGGGCATTTGTGAAAGAAACAAAAGTACTAAGATATCTTCTAAGTCTTTAATTAATCATAATGGTGTAAAGTACGAAACTCCTGAATTGATGTCAAACGTTTTTAATGATTATTTTGTTTCCGTGTTTAATTTTTCTGATGATTTACCTTCTCATCCGCCTTCTGGGAATCTTGATTATGATTTTGGCATTCCCGAATTAACAAACATTCAGTTTACCCCACAAGATGTCGAATCTGCTATCTGCTCTTTCTCGGTTTCATCCTCCCCTGCTCCTGACCAACTCTCTCCTAGACTCTTGCAAACAATTTCTACCAATATCTCATTTCCTCTTTTTTTTCTATTTTTCGACTTTCCCTCCTCTCTGGTACACTGCCTAAAGCTTGAAAGCATTCGACTATTGTGCCAGTTTTAAAATCTGGGAACCCTTCAGTTGTCCAAAATTATCGACCTATTGCTCTCACCTCAATTGTATGCAAAACACTTGAAAAAATTGTTAAAAAATGTATTATATTGCATGCTACAAATTTTTCTCTTTTAAATGAGTGCCAACATGGTTTTGTAAAAAGAAAATCATGTATTACCCAGCTTACAAACATGATTAATAAATGGTCTCTGATTTTAGATAAACCCCGTCCACCTGTTATTGATGCCATATTTCTTGATATGTCTAAGGCCTTTGATAAGTTGCCACATGACTTAATTTTAACAAAACTGGCTGTTCAGTTCAATATAAGGGGTCCCTTGTGGCAGTGGTTGTCATCCTACCTAACTAAAAGGACCCAAAGTGTACAGTTTGAAGGAACTTGTTCCAGAAAACAGTACGCAACCTCTGGTGTGCCCCAAGGCAGTGTCTTAGGACCTGTGTTGTTTAATTTATTCTTAAATGATGTAACATATAATCTAAACTCGCATTGTGTCATTTATGCTGATGATTTGTTACTTTATAGACCAATTTACTCTCCTCTCGATAACCAACTAGTCCAAGCAGATTTAAATACTCTTTGGGCTTGGACTGAATCTAATAAAATGTCTTTTAACGTTAGAAAAACTAAAGTGATGCATATCACAAGAAAGAAAAACCCAATTCATTATGAATATAACCTTAATGGTGAAACACTTGATGTTGTTAAAAAATAAGTACTTGGGTTTTACGATAGATGATAAACTCACGTGGAATGACCACGTTGATACTATAGTCAGTAAATGCAATAAACTATTGGGTCTGAAACTTTTTATTGCTGGATTTGCCTCAAGCCAAACATTACTCTCTCTATATAAGTCTCTGGTATTGCCTTACTTAGACTACGGGCTACCTGCATGGATGCCCCAGACTAAAAAACAGGTCTTCGTTTAGAACGCATCCAAAAATATGCCACACGTAGAATCATGAGAGTTGGTAGAGGTGAAATCCCATATGATATCAGATTGAAATCCACTAAAATATTATCGCTTGAATGCCGTCGGGAACTGATTTTAATTTCTTTGTTTGTAAATGCCTTTTTGGTCATATTGACTGTTCTATAATAAAAGAATATCTATCAGTCAATACTAGACATCTAACTACCCTTACATTTAATCATTTGTATTCTCGTACTGTTGTTCATCATAATTCTGTTACAGTACTTTTCCCCCGAATCTGGTCAAAATTGCCTGATAGCCTTAAAGATGTCTTGACCTGCGAGTCACTTAGATCCTTTTTAAATGCGCTTCATACTTTTTTTCACACAATGTAATTATGTTTTCTCAATGTAATTTTAATGTTTAAGTTGTCATTTCTCTTGGGTGTTTTATTTTTATTTTTTTTATTTATACATACTCGTTTTTTTTTTAAATTCCTTCTTGATGTTTTTTATGTCTTTTGTGATTTAAATTGTTATCTTTATCATATTGTATATTTTATTAGGGAGGGGGCAGCTGGCTTGAAAAAGTTATAGTGATTTGTTTGCTCAAGCTGCCCCCGACCATCTTTTGGTCAAATAAATAAACTGAAAACTGAACTGAAGACATGATGAAACACAGCTAGAAACACAATAGCCTAATAAGTTGTCATAAATTATGATACATTGTTTGTATTTTCTTATATAGAAAACAAGTCGCACTGGTTACCATAAATCAACTATAGAGTACCACGCAAAGATCTTATAAACACAAGATAGCGTTCTCCGCATTTTAAAAATAGAAGCGTCGATTTGGCACAGAAAAGTAATCAGTTTTTGGAGAGGGCGTCCTATTCGTTGCCATGGATCTGAGATAGGGTGTTGGCGTTACGCCAAAGTTAGTTACCAAGTACGTTAATTTTGTTCCTTATGTTCTAAGAGAAAGGCCCCATTGTAAATCGGACGCTTCTAATTGTTACGCGTAAACGTAAAGTTGCGCAGCGTACACTATGGCTTAGAGCGGTCAAGGTTCAAAAGTTTTCAATTTTGCAAGAGGGCGCCGTTCATGCGCTATTACCATAGAGAAAATAATAAGAATACTAGAGCGCTAACTACAATGTATTCGATGTTCGAAATACGCAGAGCTGTGTGTGTGTACCATCCAAGATGGCTGTCATAGATTCAGCCAATCTAATTTTGCCATAGAGCTATTAAACAACTAGAGTGCTGACAAGATGGCGAAGCAATGCAGAGTTGTGTATATGTACCATCCAAGATGGCTGCCGTAGGAAAGCGCCACCTTCAGGCTTAGTATGCATATTATTACCATAAATAAGCCCTCTGACTGAATATTATTTCATTAATGATAATTAGTATTGATAATGACAAATTATTAAACTGTCGTAGCCAAAACGAGGCCAAGTGGAACATCTTATTCAAAAATAAAATACCAAGGAATTAAAATTAAAATCATGTACATTACACCCAAACACCGCAACGCTCGAGTTTCAAACATAGCTGTACTCATAGAGATATAATAAGAATATTAGAGCGCTAACCGCAATGTATTCGATGTTCGAAATACGCAGAACTGTGTGTGTGTACCATCCAAGATGGCTGCCATAGATTTAGCCAATCAAAATTTCGCTAAGCACCATCATTTGCAATTGCGCCCTCAATTTACTCAGAAAGTATGTTTGAAACTCGAGCGTTGCAGTGTTTGGGTGTAATGTACACGATTTTAATTTTCATTCCTTGGTACTTTATTTTTGAATAAGATGCTCCACTTGGCCTCGTTTTGGCTACAATAGTTTAATAAAATTTTGATGTAGAGATCGACATAAGTTGTTTTGTTCGAAGTATTAGTCATTTTAGTTTGAAAATATTCGATCGACGTCGGGACTCGCGAAAGCGTTTTTCAACTGATGAAGTTATTGCTGCTCTGATAGAATCTGATGGGTCCGATAAAACCGGTTATTCACCCGTCAGCCGGGTGGATAAGATAAAAACGTTTATCCACCCGGCGGACGTGTGAAAATGTAGAAAACGGTTATCCACCAATCAGCTGGTAGATACAGACTTAACTTGCTATCAATAAATTATGATTGTCTATCGTCTCCGGTCGTTTCGGCCCTGAGTATATTCGGCTGGAGCGCCAAGTACGCAGTTTATTTGGGTTCTGCATTTTTCAAATGCTTTTTTTGTATGTGTTTTAGTATGATTTATTTTGTCTTTTTTTACGATCCTTTACTATACGTAATATTTTTTCTTGTTTGTATTTTTCAGTATGATTACTATTTAAGTTTTACGATTGTTATTTTTTCAGAAATTTTAATTAGTTTGAATATAATATTACAGTATGTGTTCTTTTTTCTTGCAGTTCCCAGTAGTGAACATTCAAGTGTACAAGACAGTAAAATTATATTATCAATTTTTTCTAAATGATCCTTAATAAAGGCTTGTGTGTTTTGTTGCGGTATGTTAATTGTTAAATAAAATATATCTGAATTTCACATGTTTGGTTTCGTTGCTAGTAATTTCATATTATCAAAAAAAAAAAAAAAAAAAGGAAGCATGTCAAGCAGTAGACACAAAACTCCCACAGAGAGCCTACTGTATTTTTTAATGGACCGTTTCAGACTTAATTACCGGTACCTAAATGTAACAGAATTGTGCAAAAAAATACAAATTTATCACTTCGTAATACATGAAAAACAATTTATAACATTTACATCAATTAAAAATAAAAACAAATGTAAGCCTGTAGCCTGTTTCTCACGAGAGCCCTAGTATCCGGATCGGGAGCTAACCGTTAGCGCTAACTGAGCACCTTTGTGAGAACGCCATATAGGTTAGCGATTAGCTAACCGTTAGCGGTATCCGGATACCGTGACGGTTAGCAAGCGCTTTCGGTTAGCACGTTGAGCTCGTTTCTATCATTAACCAATCACACGTACGCGTTTACAATTTCCAGTTTCTTATTGGCCAGTGATTCGATCATCATATTCTTGGTATCGGGATCGGGATCTACTCGTAAGGACGCACGGCAGCTAACGGTTAGCAGGATCCGGATCCTGCTAACAGTTAGCTACCGTGTGAGAACATAGCCTAAATGCAAAACATCTAGATAAATTTTCATAATCTTAAATATAATGCGACAAGTCAATTAGAATAATCGGGATATGCACAGCGTAGTACGACGGTCACACGACCGTCAGTTAAGCGACTTCTCTGCTTCTGCGGGCGTTGACGACGCTACGACCCATCGTCCTGCTGATTGTCGGTGGTAGTCTGACGAACAATCAGTCTCAAGCGCCTAGCTTCTGGCGTTACGTACTCTGTGGATGGAGGACGGCCCTCTGTGCCTGGGTTTACCTTGGCGGCGCAATCGCAAAAGCTGTAGTGACGAAACAAGCACAATTTTTGCTGATAAACTAGAACATCACAATTAAATGTTTGATTTTTTTTTCTGTGCTTTTTACTACAGACAGTTTAAGTTCAATGCAAGAGGTATTGTACATTTTTATCCTAGTACCGTCACTGTGTCAGTAGAACTTTATTAATTTAACCAATTACATCGTTCAACTGGGACGTTAAAGGCTGTCAAAATTTAATCAGGTGACCAGGGTCCACAAGACGGGAAATCTTTCGGTGGTTTTGGAATCTCATCATCATCACCGACTTGAACTACGATAGTCATTCCACCCTGTAAAGGAAATTGATATGACTGAATTAAGTTAATTAACCATTCTTTGGTAAATTTATTGTATCCTTAATAACAGATCTTTTTACAGGAATTCGATTTATGACTGAATTAAGTTATGTGAACATTTAGCATATAGCGCCTTTCCTTTCGGTCACGAAGCACTTGTTCATCCCTGGTCTATACGTGTTACTAACGTATTGGTCTAGTAGCAGGCAACCCCACTAGGTACCATTATTTAGCCCTCAACATTGGTGAAGAAGCAATGTAGATAAAGTGCCTTGAATCGAAGCACAGCGAGTCAAAACCCGATTTATATATGGAAAACCAACCGTCACGCTTAACCGCTTTCGAGCATTTATTTAAAACTTTTACCTTTATTATTATTACTTAAACATTAAATTGCTCCTTAAAAGATGTACTGTCTGTCAAAATGAGGAAAACTTAATTGAAACAATATTTTGAAGGGGTCATTTGAAAGGATCAAATAAGTTAATAGCTTCCAACCAGATCGATTGATAGTAGCTTTAACTGATTTACAGACATTAAAGGGTCAATGCAAAAGAGTCCAAAAAGAAGAAGGTTAAGAGTAACCGTTTATTGATGGGAAAGTATTCGTTTTTAATAATAATTACAAATTAGGCAATTTAAGCTCATGACAAACATATATAACATTTAGTGAATAAATAAGCGATAGGCACACTCACCAGTCCGTGGTAATCAACGTGACAATGGAAGAACCAATAACCCGGATTTTCTGGCTTCCATCGAATGACAGCGTAACCATTCTTTGGTAAATTCATTGTATCCTTAATAACAGATCTTTCTACAGGAATTCGATTTATTTTACCTTTAAAAATAGTTATAGTATTAATGGAAAGAACAAGTTTACATATATTTCTTGTTAAATTTGAAAATGAACAATGCCTTTTCAGATGATACTAGAGTATCGTCCACGTGAATAACCTAAACAGTGCTCGAGTATAAAACAATATGCCGTGATGTGATTCGAACCTGAAACCATGAGTTTTACGTTCATTATTAGACCATATCCATAACACACCAAAATCAGAATAGATCCTACTCATTTGATTTGTGGATTTTGTATCACGTGACATTGGTTATGTACACCATTTCGTCACACATCATGACCATTTATTTCCATCCGTGCATTTGGTCCATCGCTTTGTCATATTGCACACCTCTACATAATATTGTACAATGTTTTAATATCAAATGACAAGCATCAATATATTACGTGTGTTATAATAATAATAATAATAATGAATACAAAAACATTCATTATTATTATTATTATAAAAATAATAATGAATATTTTTGTATTCGTGCCATGGAAAAATATTTTCATTCGTTGAAAGATCAAATGTTCCATTCAACTCATGGAAATATTCTTACCAGTGCAGTCATAAATATTCATTATTTGTATAATGGAGTTGATAAATTAATGTATACACACACCTTGTTTATCCAATTCTTTGACATCATCTAAAGTTAAATGAGAATCGGTGGCTTCTTGAGCAAGGACTCGAAATGACTGGCCATGCATATGCATCGGGTGAGGCGCTACATTCATAGTGTCAAACAAAACCAACTCTACCACCTGATAATGGTGTAAACAAAGGTATTTACTGTAATAACAATTCAGCATATATTATATTCAATGAAGAGGCTTTAAGCTCTGTCTACACTATCAAATTTTGTGTGACAAAAAAGTGTGATATGCCCATATATGGGCATGATGACACCACACCTTGACCATATATAGGCATAGCATTACTATATATTGGCATGTCACATTTTTTTGTCAAAAAAAATTTGATAGTGTGGATAGAGCTTTATACTATTAAATAATATAAATAAAAAAAGTAAAAATTAAAAATTCTGTCGTTTAAAGTCTAGATTCCATTAAATTACTGCATGCTATCGGTGACAGCTTTCTGCAACGGTGATTGGTCGACAGTTACGCATTTGCAATAAAAACGTTCATCATCATCAACATCATCATCATCATCATCATCATCATTATCATCATCAACATCATTGTCATCATTGCCATAATCGTCATCATTATCATTATTATTACCATAATCATCATCATCACCATCATCATCATCAACATCATCATAGTCATCATCATCATCTTCATCATCATCATCATCATTATTATTATTATTATTATTATTATTATTATTATTATTATTATTATTATTATTATTATTATTATTATTATTATTATTATTATTATTATTATAATTACCTTGCCAATCTTCAGCTTAATAACATTCGTACAGTGACACATATGCATCCTGCAATAATCAAATAAACTGCTATTCACACCCGGCTGACAAATATCCACGTTCGTATCCAAAGATGAGATGAAAGGCTTTTCCGGTAGTTTGAACTCTACGTTGTTTATTTGCATACGTGGGTACGTATGATTTGTGGAATTTTGCGAATTTGATGAGAAATGAAATATTACCCAATCTGTCGTCATGTAGTACATCTCATCAACATTTTCTAAATCTGGATCAACTGGTTCTGTAGTTCAAACACAAGCGTCAAGAGATATTTTTTATACAAGAAATTAAAAGAGATAATCTTTAATTTATGTTAAATGTATTTAAGTTTCTCTCAATGTGATTTCCCAATTTCTATTTTAATGTATATATTAATCATCATACATCTTATTATTTACCTAATTGTATATGAAATATATTTGAGAAAAACATATGTTCCCCCATCGGGATTCGAACCCAAGATTTTCCAACAGTACCGTAAGGATACTCTACCTGCTGAGCTATGGGGCCAAGACGTGGTATATACTCTTGGATTTGTCCATTTGGATTCCTTTTCTTTCCCTCGGGGTATTGCTCAATACGCAATGGATTTTCTGAATTTTACCTATACTTTATTTTTATTAAGTTTTATTGAATATTTTAATTATTTTAATATGGGTTTTTTTCCTGTTTGTCTACACTTCTTTCGATGTTGGTTGTTAAACTTCAATTGTTTACAAATTACAATAAAGCTTAATTTGTATTGAATCCATTTAAGCAAGATTTTCTTATTAAAATATTAATTTTATTTTTGATTACCGTATGACTGTGTATCATTGAACGTGTAGTAATCATCCCTGTTGAGATCCTCATTGATGTTATGTATCTGCATCGAGGTAAATACAGTTTTACCTCTGTAGCCTAGGTCACAATTCAAGTCCACAATTTCCGCCGACCTGTACTTCAGAATGGCGGAGCTATTTGTTTCACACAGGATGTTGGGAACTGGATTTAGATATATGCAGTATGAAGACGGCTTAAGGGATGCTTCTATAACAATATCGAACCTGAGACAGAGAGAAGGCTGAAAATAGTATCATGCATACTCTATATATATGTGACTACCTTTAAGAAACGTCTCTAAAAATATTTTTGACTCTTCATTCCGTTGCCACCTTTCTTTGAACTATTCAGAGTTATACGGTTTTTTATTGTGTAGTTTTCTATCCTTTCATCATTTAGATATCATATAAAAATACAAAAAAGAAGCACAGAGTCAAAAGTTATAATATCTGGGATAACCCTCTTAAATCCTATCACATGGCTATTATTAAAAATATACCGTTTAGTATATCCTTACACTTTTAAGTATATAAATTAATGCAGTTTAATTAAAAAATAGGGAAGTTAAACCAAGCTAGACAATAATTAAATATATTAGGAGATTTAAACGTTTATGAATTGACTGCTTATCAAAGATGTTTTAATTAGAATACATTAAAAAAAATTCTATAGGTCTATTTTTGGTTCACCTAAAACGCTAAAGCCGATTCTGCTACTGTCATTAGATACAATTAACCAGACAAACTCATGTCATGTAGATTATGCGTATGTCTGTAAATTTAACACACTGTAGGCTACACTCTCTGCAGACTCCGTTTGTAGACAATTTACAATACTAAAATCAATATGATAATGATCAAACTGACCTTTCACCCGGAACAACAATAAGAGAGTCGACTGTGACTGGATGGATCTCATATCCATCTGTAGCAATAATAGTCATTGGATGATCCTCAATGGTTATTTGGACGTTACAATCACCAAATGCACTATTAATAATGCGCATACGATACCTGAGCCCTTCTTCTACTTCAAACACAGACCTAGGTGTATAGACATCTTTATCGTTGGCTTCATCATAATAATAATATTGAGAATTTCGTCCTTTACCATTAATCAGTATTGATAACGTATGTTGATAAGTAAGTGCGCCTGTAATAGATGAAACGTAGTTATCGAATACTAGGTTGCTTGTCCAATCGTAAATAATCATAACATGGTCTAAAATATCAACATCATACAAGTTACTGTTACTTTCAATTGTTTTCGGGGAGCGAACAATCAGAGGCCCGTACATTCCTTCCCCACGCTGAACGCCCGTATGAGAGTGCCACCAGTGGGTACCAGGCGGGTCTGCCACGAATTTGTACACGAATGACGTTGCGAATGGTATGGGGCATTGCGTGATCATTGCGACGCCGTCCATCCAAACGGTCTGGAATTGATGTATGCCATGCCAGTGAATGGCTATATCTCCTCCATCTGCTAGTTGGTTGTTGACTTTAACTCGAATAGTGTCCCCGTGGCACACCTACATCAGAAAATGTATTCGTAAATATTTAAAAACAACAAAAAACATATGCAGATCCACAATTTCAGTTTAGTTATATATGTATATATATAAATATACATACATA